CTCCATATGTCACACATCAAGGGTAAAATATATATATATATATATATATATATATATATATATATTCTTTTTTTCTGTTACTTCCACCTACTATCCTAAGCTTTCATGTACAAATTCCTTTTATTACACTCATCTTCAATTCTATCTATAATTTTTCTATATTTCAAATTAATTTGTTTGATGAATTCTTGGATGACTAAAATAACATATGAATTTGGAGTTATATAGGCAATGTCCAGCTAACATATTATGATGTGCATAAGTACGAGTCTTAAGCTTGACATTCTCCAAGTTCCATGGATTCTCACTTCTAAATGTATGTAGTCTTTGTAGGTATTGCGGTGTTGAGTGATTATGGTGCACATACACGCACAAATAAAAAATGGCTTATTTCAGGGCATATTTTGGATCAGTTTTTTATGGTTTTTATTTTAATTTTTTACTTTTGTTTTAAAAACATATTTATTTAGTGCATATTGTTACATGTTTTTATCTTTTTTTTTTCTAAAACATTAACTTATTTTTAAAATGATCAAAACATTTTTTATGGACAACTAAACATGTCATAACATATCAAACATGATTTATTTGAAGGAAAAATATAGACAAGATGAATTAAATGTAAAAAATAATTAAAATTGATCCCAATGCTCTTCTAAGTAAATCTTCTTATACACAATGTTATTAGTAAATTAATCAACCATTTATTATGCATTGTGATATCATCTTTCTTGAAAATAATGCATTCTCAGGCAACTCTTTCACATTAGATTTTTTTTGGAATGAGACTGAGGTCCCGATAAACCAAAATTGCATTTTGACCCTACTCTTCAGCTGTTTGACAGTTGAAAGATGTCGCCATTTGTTGATATTATTTCATTTCGAGCATTGGTGTTAGCTAATTTAACTCATTATTGTCAGAATCCTTGAGGCAATCTAACATAAGCATAATCATAATCACTCCATTGTTTCACAATCTTTGAGGCAATCTAACATGTTAAGAGAAATTATTACGTGTTGGTGTCCATGCGTTCAGACACCGACGACGATCCGGTCAGATGGTTAGATTTTCTTTATATTTTGTTTAATTTTGAATTGAATGAAAGAATTAATATTTTTAATTGCAAATGAGGGCGACAAAAAATACTAAAATGAATATATATATATATTTGTCATGTAAACACAAGTTTATAGGGTATTATAGATGGAAGGGTAACTAGTGACGATGGTATTATATAAACAAATGAGAGGACATTTTTTCCCACAATATCACAACTGCAGGTGATAGCAAGGGTAAGTTTATTTCTTCTTCACTTGAAAGATTAGAAGATGACGTGCACTCCTTACAGTATGAGATCAGACAATTCATGCAATAAATGCAGCTGAATTATCAATCACGGAGAGGATCACAGTCGGTGTGTTATTTTTGCAAGTACTTAAATATTTTATTTTATTTTAATCATCTTAATATTATTAATTAATTGTGTGTTTGTTATTAATAGGGATGTAATGAATTTTAATCCATTGACATATTGAAGAGAATCTCACACAGTGATCATATTTACTTTATGCATTTTGGTTTCTTTTATTGTAAGTTTGCTAGAGGTTTATCTCACTATACTCTTTTCTAAGGTATTAGAGGCTGGCTCATGGATTGATATATGTTCTGCTGTATTTTAAATATTAATACTATTTCATGAATAATTTTTCTTTTATTGGTTCATTGGCTTTCACATTTGAGGTACTTACATGCATATCATTTATTTCTATGTATTTGCATATCTAAGACTGAAATTTTTACATTTGTACTATGAAGTGCAAATGCAAAAATTGAAGTCTAGGTGTTAGACATATAAATACATAGAATTGGGTGATATATACGTAAATATTCTTTCATATATATATATATATATATTTATTTTATTTTATGTGCAGGTTTATTGAAAATGTGTATAATCATAAAAATTAAATTTAAAAAAAATCTTGAAATTAGCGGCTGCAAAGTCCATCGCAATTACAAGTCGTTGCAAAAGTCATTACAACTAAAAATCTTCTCTGATAATTTTAGAACTGAAACTATCAGTCTTTGCAATGTTAACAAGTAGCAACAGTTAAAATTACAACAATGAAAATAGCAGTTAAAATCGTTATATGTTGTATAGTTGATAATTACAGAGGTTTAAAATCTGCAATAATGAAAACAACATGAGTGTTTACCACTGTGATAGTCTGTATAAAATGCTGTGAAAGTTCATTTTTTTTTAGCAGTGAAAAATAATATAGTAGCATTTTCACTGTCTTTTAAAATATACATAAGGAATGATTTAGCACCGTTTTTTATTACATTAAGCTCTGTGCTTGTAAAGCTATCATTAATACAGACTTATATTCAGATGAACGCAAATCTGTATAAAATGAGTGAAGGACAGGCATATATTTCACATATTATTTCATGAGATTTTTCCATATATGACTTCAGTCCTCTCGAAAAAATATTAGGTCTGGAGTTCTAATGGCGCCTCGGCGTCACGTGTTAAGTGGCTCTGGATTCCTGATCTAATATTTTCTATGGCCCCCTCAATCACCACCCATTAGCTTTATGAATTAATGGAGAAAATATTATGTCTGGATAACATATATTCAAACGACAGCTTGGATTGCAGAATCCAAGCCGGCATCCGAACATTCAAATGCTAAACATAATATTCGTTTCAAATCAACAGGTTTCTCAATATCAGGTTTGCATGATAAATCAAATTTAAACCCGACATATCAGTATACTTTATTTTATTTTCAATCATTATACTTATATATATATATACACATTATACACACACACACACATACACACACATACACACACACACATATTCGAGCATTTTTTTTTTAAATTAAAAAAAAAATATTTAAAGGAACTCTAATTTCTACCAAATTTTTTAATGCGAGAAAGGTGATGGAAGAGTTGACTGTCTATTGATCACTAGAAAGTAGAGAGAAGAAATACTGGCGCGGCGTTGTTCTTCCGTTGTTTTCGGCCAGTTGATCATCTCTTTAGCTTTTAATTTCTCAAACAATGTGGGGCTGCTACCTTACTATTAATCTCCAAAAATCACGGGGTTCTCAGCTGGGAAGAGCGACTCCGCTACCAACTTGCTTCCATTATTTCTACTTCAGCTGCTTTTCCTGCTTTTTACGTAATTATACATTCAGGTTTCTGTCTTTTTTTTTTTTTTGGGTGCAGATTCAATGTAGAATGTGTTAATGATGGTTTTTGCTTTGAAAATTATTAGGTGCGGAGGAGTTCACATCTGAATGGCGGGCCGGATGCGGCTATCCTGACATGAGGCTTTGTTAGGTATGGCTTAAGGGACAAATGCAGGAGCGTAACGAAGCTAGCCAGCTGAGCAGAGTGGAATGAAAATATTTATCTAATCGAGGGAGTTTCGTTATGTGAGTTGGGGGGTATGGGGCAACGTCCCCGCAATACGATTCAACGATAATTTTGTAATTACATATTGTATATAAGGGTTATATATATATATATATATATAAAGAAGATCGCCGCCCTAACATAGACATGTTGCCGAGCATCATTAAATTTCTGTGTTTTCTTTTTTATTTGTGCTGATTCTTGAGTTTTCTTGGCCCTAAGTCCTCAACGGGCCTCGAGGCACAATTTCTCTTGGAAATTGAAATCAGGTGGGATCATCTGCAGGCGTGTTCATTTAGACTTCCATTCGCAGCTGTATATCTGTCTGCGTGGTACAATTTAGTTGGTCCACATGCAACATTCATGCACTCTAACACATCACTATAATG